CCCCACCCACCTATGGCAGTTATGCCCATGATTGTTTTTTAGAGTCTCTATATACATGGGCGGCTGTGGTGTAGTGGTAGAGCAGCCGGCCTTGGGACACGCAAGCCACAGGTTTGACCCCCCGCCATGCTCACATGCCGTTGTGTCCTTGGGCAAGACACTTCACCCGCCTTGCCTACTGATTGTGGTCAGAGGGTCTGATGACGCCTGTTTATGGCAGCCTCGCTTCTGTCAGTGTGCCCCAGGGCAGCTGTGGCTACTATGCAGCCTTGCCATCATCAATGTGTGAATGGGTGAATGTCTGTAAGTGTAAAGCGCTTTGAGTGTCCTCGATGGATAGAAAGGCGCTATGTAAGTACAGTCCATTTACCATTTATATCAGTATCTTAAAAACTATCATATTGCCACCAAAGTAATTCAGGATTTATCCCTCTGAAACAGTATTAGATTTACTACAAAATTTATGTTTATTCACGATTAAGCTGTGACATCCAACTTGAGTTGGATTGACTGTAAAATGTTATTCACTTGTTATACAATGATTACATTCTGGGAGCTTTATTCAAATCTATTATTCTTATTATTATTATTATTATTATTATTATTATTATTATTATTATTATTATTATTAATGAGAAATGTTGCTAGTGGGTGGACAAAATACACGCAAACTAAAATATTATTGTCCACCTTTTGCAGTTTCAGCAGAAACTTATATCAAGAGCAAAATGAATACTTTTACCAATGTATGATAAATTCTGAAATCAGATTAAAAGTTGCAGCTGAAACCTCCTGACCTATTCAAAACCTAAAGTCACTGTCAGGTTCTGTGGGAGTCAAACCTGCGTGTGTTTGGTATTCCGTGCAGAAAGCCTCCCACGCCCCGTGTGTCCACCCACGCCTGGATTTGCGTCACGCAGGGAGCAGCGTGGGCGAAAGAAAGAGTGAGAGAGTGAGAGAGGCGCTGTAGCAACCGCGTGGAATATCCCACTTTGTTCAGCTGCCGCATTAAGCTAAGAATGCTCAGGAGAGGTAAACAGGAAGCTCTTACAAAATAAAAGCATTCTGTAAACGCTACTTAGAAACCATTCATTTCATTTTTTTCATTTCCTTCCAAACATCTAGATTTTCTTGTATTTTTCAGGCAGATTGGCTCTGTAGTGCTCCAGATTGAAACTGAGTGAAAAACATCCAAATTCTTAAAGAAAAATGTCAGAAGTCTGAAAACTGTTGATCAAAACATTTTGTAAAAAAGTATTCACATTCCTTACTTAAGTAGAAGTATAGATACTAGGGTTTAGAAATACTTTTTTGGAAGTAGTTTCAAGCTTGTTGCTCAAGTAAAAGTGTAAAAATTTAAAACTACTTAAAGTCTAAAAGTAAATGTAATGGGG